GTAAAAATGTTCATAAAATGAACACTACTTGGCCAAACTATAGTAAATTTTTATGGGACCAAATGACAACTATTCTGCATCAAACTAAAGAAGAATCACGTAAATCGGATCATAAATCTCAACGTAATCGGTGTACAAACATCGAAAAAAAATATACCAATCGAATAGAGGAACTCCTCCTTTTGAAGTCGGTTAAAAATATTATATTAATTTAATTAAATATTAAAGGTACTTAGATAAAATCTATATTGTGGCAAAAAATATATAAAAACATTATTTTTAACAATTTTAATTAGTGGTCCACCTAGGCCCGGGGGGGGGGGGTCATGACCCCCATGACCCCCCCCTGGATCCGCCCTTGCTCCACCTTCTCATAGCGTGTTAAATGGTTTGCCGATGTCGTAGTGAGGTCATCGCTTGCTGGTGCTACGAGTGGCCGGCCGATAAGGGAATGATCTGGACATAGCGGTGAAAGGTCATGTGGGTCTGCGGAAAGTGGTGACATTGGACGGGAAGCCTGTGTTCAGCAATGGACTGAATTGATGATGGGGATGACATCATTCTGCGCTTCTTATGCATATGACCTTGGCTTTAACAGAAAAACAACTGTAACGGGTTGTAACTTACAATTTCAAAACAGTGGAGAAATATTTAAATGAACAAAATAATAAAAGAATCAATTTCAAGATGAAATAAAACGCAACAATTATTCTCAGCAAATGAGATATCGGATTAGACTGCACTTACTAAAGCGGTTCTTTGATCTAAAACGAAATAAAAATTAAGCCGATAGTGATAAGATGGGCAACAATTCGTTATCTGTTTGTCTTTCTTTAATCAATTTATATTTTATCAATTAACGACCATTATTTTTTATATTTTTAATACTTTCTTTTTTTTAATCATATTACTACATAAAATATAATTATAAAATCTACAGAGCATTAAGAGTAAATAGTTGCCGTATGTTCATAAATTCACACAAATTTAATGCTAGTATAAAATGCTATATCTTTCATATTATGCCTCTTTACTTTTCGCTATTCTGTTTAATTAAAAGTTAACAAAGGCCACGTTTAATTGGATGGTTTGTCTCTTCCCTCCCGTCGAGTATTTTCATTTTAAAGAAAGTTCTACACAAACAAGTATTTAGTAAGCGATTCTTTAAGTCACTTATATTAATTCCCATGTGAGTAAACTTACAACGAAATACAACGAACTTAATAATTCATTTTTAAAAAATTTCGAAGCTGGGAGTGAAAAAAAAAATTGACAGATCTAAGCATACATAGGGACAGACTAGACAGAGCGAGACGACTTTGTTTTATGTATCTATTTAATATGAAGTGATTAAGTGATATTTTAACGGACAGTATTAAATGTAGTCTCATACAGTAATTGTGACAATTATGCATTTAAAAGTAAACTTGCACCTTACTTCAAGGTGTGTCAACGTTCAGAAGTGAAACAGCGATTATATATTTCCTCAAAAATATCGAAATGCCATTTACCCGCAAGTTCTGTTGACAATTCCTAATTCACGCAACATTCAGTATAAAATCCGTAAGCAATTTTATAGCAATCCAATATTCGATAAAATATTACAATAATCCAATAGAATGAACGCAACCTTTGTTCTTAAGTACCACATAGATTGCATACAAAATGTCGTCGACAGGGCTGCGGGCTTTTGATGGCTATTACTTACAACGCAATATCAAATTGCTTTCAATTTATTTCGCAATTGCCGTCTTTGAGTTTCGCTTTGTAGGGGCCTCTGACGTCGGTCCGAGGCAACAATAAAATGTATTCGTCTCCGGAATGTTTAATATGGGGAAAAGTTTAATAACGCGTCCGGGCGGCCGGGCGGCGGTCAGCGCCTTGCCCGGCCCACTGCTATAAATCAAATCTCTTACCTTCAACGGCGCTGTGAGAAAAATCCTTATTACATTCGGACTCGTTTCCTTTTGCCATTAGGGAAAATAAGCAAATAGTTTTATGCCAAACCTCAGTGACATAGTTATCGATTGCCTCTGATTTAACATACAATACTAAACCTTAATAATGTTTATAACTAAAAGTGGTCTTCTGTTCTTTTTTAAAAATATTTTTGGTAATAATAAAATTTTAATATGAGTTATATAAAAAAAAAATTAAGACAAAATTTTTAAAGGTGTCTGTGAAACACAAAATCGTAAGGACGTTCGAAGGAGTTCCAATGAGGGTTCCCCGTGTCAACGGCAAAGAAGCCCTACGGCATTGCATCATTAGCAAGCGGCACCTGCAAGGAGAACAGGGCGGCCTTATACCATTGCACCTTTATAAAAGATTGTAGCGCAAAGGTACGTCAATTCATTGCGGCTTACGTTAAAGTTTCTACACATAACAATAAACCATACGAGCAGTGTACTGCAAACGGAGCATTTGTTTTATATTGTTAAACAGAAGATTTGGCTGTAATACGAAACGGTATGACTTGTGGGCTCATCAAGGCGCAACAGACGAAGCTCGGCGGCCCTGGAGCCCGACGCGACGCGGACACAATGGCTCCCTGACGTTAATTAAATGTTAACAAACGCCCTCGTCGTCGCTTAATTGGAACTGTTGCCTATTATCCTTACCTTCCGACGCGGAGAATGACTTCTAAGCTTGAGAACCGTACTACACAGTTTTTACTCTGAAATCTTCAAACTAAGTGGGACTCGCTTCTTTTGTCCCGTGTGAATTCATTATTTTTATTACAACTAATTGCAAAGTGTAAAGAAGAATTGACTACAAATTATTTATAAAAAAGTGATAATAGTACCTAGGTTACTAAAACAACTTATGTCTATTTTCAGTTCCGACGGTTTTGTTTTTCATTTCCATAAAGTTAATTAGAATTACATTATCCTATTAAGTTTGTTTATAAGGTCTTACAACATTAAAAGTATAAATAAAAAGGTATAGGCGATCATTAGGTAGTTTTTCTTAATGTGTAGTAGTAGAGCAGGCGGTTCACTTAATGATAAGTGATTACCGCCACCCATGGACATCTAAAATAATAGACGCGCTGAAGATGCTTTTCTAACCTGAAAAATGTGGACACAGGTCACCCGAAAGTACAATACTTCCACTACACAACAGTCTTCCATGAGGCAATGATACTTCCACAGATGAGCAATATTAGTGCAATAGCAAACGCTGCTGCGTGGCCCGACCACGGAATTTGTTTTCTCTATATGACCACAATAGATGGTCAATTGTTTTCCAGTCACTATCCTGCGTCAAAAGCCACCCCTCTCGATTCCAGACCGAAGTATGTGACCGATTAATACAGTCAACCGGTAATTAATATATTTTTAGTCACCTTTTTTCCTCGGGAATCGGTTTTCCGCTTAAGGTTAATTTGACCTAACTTTCTTCTCTGGCAAATTCAGTTCACTGGGAAGATGTTGTTGGTTACAGGGCAAGTACGAATGGAGCATATTATTTCAGCTTTCTCGCGGTCCGTTCTCCTTACCGAGGCGATCGGCAGTGCTTAGGAGGCTGTTAATGTTACAACTGAGATATTTATCCGAGTAATATAAGGCTGTGTTATCCGCGAAAAGCGCGATTTTGACTTGTGGGTCTCATATGGTGTCGCTTTTGTAAGGCAAAGGGCAAAGGGGAGAGGGTAGGATTGTCTGTCCAATGCCGGCTTGTGATAAGAGTGCCCTCTACTCGATAATTAAAAGTGCGTAGACAGGAAGGCTCAGATTATGTACACGAGCCTGTCTGGCACGTCGAAGAACAGAGCTCGCGTAGTAATGTGTTTGGGGTGGTTAAGACCTTTCACGATGAACAGATGGTAAGACCCTCAATGGCCCCACTTGCTACACGCACCGTATATTTACGTCGCCACAATCGTTTTCTGACGAAGACGATTTTTTGATGTCACGATTAATGAGAAAAAAAGACGTTATTGGGTTCGACCGTTTAATCAAGTTTCTACAACTAAAGGGACGAAGTAAAGATCCAATTACATTACCGGATTGATAACTGAAACTGAAAACTGATGTAATGGCAAAATAAAAAAAATACAGTATGAAATGAAAAATATGAAAAAATACAGTAAAGCACGATATAGGTACCATATAGCACCAAAAAGGTACTTACACTTTTCATTCAATTTTTCACCGTGCTCAATCCAAATAATTTCTGTAATCCGTCTATTCCTTTAATCAGTGAGCGTATAGTTGTATAATATAGGGCTTTTTTTCAACTTCTGTGGAAATTTTTATGTAAAATATTTTTTTAAACTACCTACGGTAACCCTACGGTAACACAAAAAACGAACATGTTTGGTCTTCAATTCATGGGGCGCCACAAAATGCACCCACTACAAATGTGACCTTGGTGTGCGCGCTTGCAAAAAATATACGGGAACTTAAAATGTGGCGCGTTTGAAATATGGCGCCACAATTATTATAATAAAAGGGTATGTCTAGTGTGCGACCTGCCCTAAAGATCCGCAACGTAACTGCAAACCCAAAGGCATAGTTGATGTCTACGAATGGCAATAATCACACGACGCTAGTAATATTCACCCAGAAGAACGGGAAACCTTAGCCCATAGAAATAGAAAAATACTTACACCAAAAAAAACAGAGTCAGTCTCATGGGGACTGCTAACAGAAGTGGAAATGTATAATAATATCAAAATTAAAATTGTATAATATTTAATTCGACATATTTTATAGGCACTCTGAATGATAATAATAGTATTTATATCATATCCATAACTACAAATATATTTTTGCGTATTCACTTTTTTAAAATAGCTCATGGAATATCTATCATAATCATTGTCAGTGTCACCTGTCAACCTGTCATAATCCAATAGGCTAGAAGGCTAGCCGCTCTATGACTGTTAGCCAATACAATAACCAATTGCCTTTAGGAAATTATAGAAGTGAAAGTATAATGAATTGAAAATATTATTTTTCAACTTAAAAACATATTAAACAATAAGATTAGATATGGCACACTTTAGGCCAGCAGGGTTTTCGGATGATGACACGGACAGTGATGATTACGGTTTTTTCGACAAACCGGTAAGACAGCTCGTAATGTTTTTAAAAAAGTCATTACTACTTTAAAAGAAATCTAATGAAATGGAAAGATATTAACATATACGTTGGTAAGATCTAGTTCGTTGCTTGAAATAAAAATTAAGTGATTAGTTCTTTTACGGCAAAATATCTTACGTATGTAAAAAAATTAACTGAGGTTAATTTAGATTTATTAATACTTTCGACTATGAGTGTATAAAATTTAGTAGCAATAATATATAAGTTTTTAATAAATTTGTAAGTTGTATAAATTTTATACATTTTATCTTGTGTAAAAATACTTTTTATGTTACAGACGAGAGCCTACTATCCTACAGATTATAATGAAAAAAAGAAAAATGAAATGAAACTTCAAGATGCTATTCTAAATGGCAATTTAAAGGATGTAGAAGATATTATTTTGTATGGTATGTTACTTTTTACAAACTAAATAGACATAGATATAAATGGGGGTTTTCATCATTCCAGCCTGTTTGAGTCCACTGCTGAACATAGGCCTCCCCATAGACTGCCATGAAGTACGATCCTAAGCATCCATCGACTTCCCGCACATTTGCACAGGTCGTCACTCCATCTAGTGGGCGGTCGTCCTACACTGCAATGGCCAGTACAAGGCTGCCACTTGAAAACCTTTCTTCCCCAACGGTTATCGGTTCTACGAGCTATATGGCTGGCCCATCACCACTTCAGCTTGCTAATCCTCTGAGCTATATTGGGTTATATTGATAGGGTTTTATTTTATGTCTATTACTTTTATAGTCCACTTTTTGTTTTACATGTAATTTTTTTCTGTATTGAGAAGCCTTTGCTGTTGTACGAATGGGTAGGCTCATCTGGGTTAGTACAGCAGCCTGAGGTATCCGGGGTACAATTTTTTAAAAGATGGTATATCTATCCAGCATTATTGATATCCATGGGAGGCGGTTAATATCCAAAATAAATGAAACACTAGCTTTGCCCTCTTCTAATATAAAAAAAAAACCTATTGTCAAATAACATCAAATATTTATGCATCATACAAATGCAATGAATTTAGTTTTGCATGCTTACACAAAACCTTCCACGACTATCTATTACAAATTTCAGCTAGCAAAGTATCAGGTCATCAGATTGACAAAACATCATAAATTTTCAATATTTTTATTCTTTAAATAAAATCAGGTTTAGTAGGTTCTTTTTTTCAAGTAATCAAAAGGTTTTTGGTACTAGGTACATTTTATAACACTTATGCGACTTATGCATTTATGCAAATACATGAATATTTTCATATTCATGATTATTGAACTGCACTTTCCTTCTATACATAATTGCACTAATTACTATCAAACAAAACCATAAAATAAAATTTAAAAATCTAAAAATCTCTCTAAATGAGGTTTCCATTATTAATTTTTAAAAAAAATATTTCTAGGATAGTTAAGATGTATGTATATGTTTTTTGCTGGTCCCATTGCTATCAATTAAACTCACCTTCATAAGACCTGTGAAAAATTGTTACATTTAAGAATTGTTTCCTTTGGCCTTTAGAAAAAAAGTTTTTTCTATTTATATTTGTAAAACTACATTATTACTTGTAGAATATTTAATTCTACACATTTTTTTAAGTGGATGTGAAAAAGAAAACATAAAACTTAATTGTTTTTAGTTTGTCTGTTACTGTGTGTTGTTTTTTATTTATTTGTATGAATGTACACAATACCTTATTACTTCATATCTTTTTTATATTTTAACATCAATTAGTAACTCTTAATACTTATGTTCGCATAAAATCTAATTAATTTTCTTATTCGAAAAACCTTATTCTTGCAGATTTAAATAATGCAGTGAATCTCAAACTTGACAGTGGATGGACCCCTTTGATGCATGCCTGCTTCCATGCTCAGGATGAAATTGTTAGGATGCTACTAGACAAAGGCGCTGACCCAAATTTACATGCAGGTATTGAATATTGTATATTAGATAAAAGCTATAATTTATTAAAGATTGCAAATACACAATTAATAGACTAAGTAAAGAATTACTTTACAACACTTTGAATTTTATCCAAAAGAGAAAAGCTTATATTGGTAATTTTTTTATAACAGGTGAGATAATTTTCTGTATAATATATATCTGAATCTGCAGGAAAAAAACGACTATCAGCTGTTTGTAGATAGAATTACGTTTGACATGAAGTAGCATAGTCCTGCAAAGTAAATCCACAGTAAGCATATTAGAAACCTTGAGCCAGAAAAGTTGGTAGTGGAGTTTTAAATATAAAGTATGAGGATTTGTAGTATGTATTTCACCAGTTGAGTCGGCTCACTTATGCATCAGAAATTGTTCAGCTCTAATGCATTGTTGTTGTATCTTCACTATTGCACAAATGGGCTGGTCCGTGGTGGGGAAGTACCACCACCCTACAGAAGATTGCCATGAAGTGGAAGTGTTATACTTCTCTATTGAGTAACCGTATGCATCTGGAACTCTACAGGTATTGCATATGTCCATGGGTGTTGGTTATCACTTAACATTACACCATTCCTATTCATTTGATTTTATATAGAAAATTTCCTGGTGTTTCTTAATACCTCCATTCCAATGTTAAGAATATTCTTACAAAATGTAATGCCTGACTTACATAGACAGTTTTGTCCCTTTTCAGATATGGAATGATTTTCCACCAAACTCAAAAACGTGGTTCTGAATTTGGTTATGGTTTTTTCTGTGTGTGACCTCAAAACTCCATTATTGGAGATATATACAGCGTGTCTTTACAATCGCGACAATAAATGAACACGCATATAGGGGATAACTTTAAAATTGTATTAAAAATTTACATTCTTTAAACATCAATATTTACAGAGTTATTAAATTTTTCCGAAACAAAGAATTTTAGAACAACCTTACGTTCATACCTTTTATAACTGCAACGTAAAGTTCATTTGTAAAGGTCACAAAGCATATGAATGGGTTGAATGAATTTAAAAGAGACAAAACATACTTATTAAATGAAACTACTTTACGGATTTTATCGCGTTTTTTATTTTGATTTAAATTCCCGACGTTTCGAACCCTTTCCAGCGTTCATGGTCACGGGACAGACTAGATAAATCAAGAAAACAATACAAAACATACTGTTAGAAGGAGAGGCTTGTAATGCGACGGTGTGGCGCGAGTTGTATAGGATGTTACAAATTTTGTTTCTTTGTTACTTAATTAGTTTGTTTGAAAAATATTTTTTTTAAATTATGGATTTTGTTTAACGTTAATATTTTTTTATAATTATTGGCAAGAAGCGTTTAACGTGTGTTCATTTATTGTCGCGACGGTAACGACACGCTGTATATTGAACTCCATGGTCCAATTGGCAAATTCTCTTTTTGCGAGAAATACATTGTAAAATAACAAAATACATGAATTTGATTGGATTTTGAAGATACACCAGAGAAAACTCCTCATAATCAAATTGGAAATGTGAGAGATATTAAATACGGTCTTATATTCTGTTAATAAAAATATTATCACAACGGGGTGAACTTCGATCATAATATTCCAATTTACAGATTCCATGACGTCCGTGATGGCTGCATGTTCCAACAGCAGCGCTAGCGACTACACAATATACAATATTGTTTCTCATCTCATCGAGAAGGGCTGCCTCCTAAACATTGGCGACAAGCTCGGCCAGACTCCTTTAATGCGGGCGATCAGTAACGGTCGAATCGGTGTAGTGAAGCTTTTATTGGACAAGGATGTTAATATTGAAATGAGGGATCAACAAGGGTGGACAGTAAGCTGATATTATTTTATATCATGCTATCTATTGTTCCCACTTTGTGGAGATTGTTTCTGATAATTTTTTCGCTTCATAATCATCAATTCAGCCTGTTTGAGAACACTACTGATCATAGGCCCCCAAACACTGCCACGAAGTACGATCCTGAGCCACCTGCATCCATCGACATTTTTTCGCTTGTTATATTGTAATACTGTGGTTGTGAAAAACAACAAAATATCTTTATTATTTTACTCAATTCTGTTAGTGTGGAACTACTTAGGTCTTGAGAATGGAATCACATTCGAGACTAAATTCAAGCAGTTGAAACATTTTTGTTTACGTATTTCTGTTTCAACTGATGTTAAGAAATAACCGCCGCCCAAGGACCATTTATAATTCAAACAAATTGTCAATAGATGGCATTTCATATATTGTTTGAAAAATGAAAACATCAACGTTATTCTACTTGCCTATTTTTGTCATATGGATGAAAAGTATACGTCAACATTGAGAGTAACAGTCTCACAAAAGTGGCCAAGTGCGAGTCGGACTCGCGCACGATGGGTTCCGTAACATTATAAGAAAAACAAGTCTATTTTTATTAACGAAAAACAAAACCGATTTCAAACATCTCGCTCTGTACATTTTATTATTGATTTTTAGGAATTCCATAAGTATCTCCGGATTCCAAGACCCAATACCAATGAAATTAATAGGGCACCACATGGGTAACACCAGATTTCAAATAAAAAAAGAATCATCAAAATCGGTTAACTCAGTCGAAAGTTCTGAGGTAACAAAACATAAAAAAATACGGTCGAATTGAGAACCTACTTATTTTTTGAAATCGGTTAAAAAACCTTAGTGCGTGCGAACCCACATCCCGGTATTTGACCCTTTGCCCATTTCTTGTTTGACCTTCGTGCTCACGATTAAAAGTTACTTCCAGGCGTTGTTCTGGGCTGTTCACCATAACCAACCCGAAATTGTGGAACTACTCATCGAGCGCGGCGCCCGGCTGGCCGAAGTGGACCGCTCCGGCCGCACACTCCCGGAAATAGCCCAAGTGCACGACTTTCAGGCGATCGTAGACATACTTAATAGGCATCTAAAGAGGGAGAAGGACGACAACGACAAGGAAAGCTATATCACTAGCCAAGTGACGTCGTGGCAAGATTTCTATCCGGGTCTGAATAAGGGGCAAAGGTAATTTAAACATGGAGGAAACTAATATTTAGTTTATCATTAAAAGTAATCCGATAGTTTATTTCAACGGTCAATAAAACATGTTGAAAATTTTGCGCTGAAAACGTATTCCAGCTGGACGTAATATTTAGTTATCTCAAAAATTACTTAATCGTATGAAAAGTGTAATTTAAAAAACTTCTTGCTTTAACAATCCTTTTCCTCACTATATATCAATGCAACCTATGTGATACAATTACATACTAGTAGGTGGTTCACCTGATGTAAAGTGATTACCGCCTCCCATGGACATCTACAACACCTGACGGGCTCTAGAATGCCTACCATTAAAAAATGAGCCCCGGTTACCTCACTCACCAGAGAAAACGCGAAAGTACATGTACCTTTCACTTAGATCTGTGAGGCCGTGGTACTTCCCCTGACGAGCCTGCCCATTCGTGCAACAGCAAAAGCTGCTGCGTGGCTCCACCACAGTAAGTAGTACCTCTCCCCTAGTAAGTAGTACCCTCTCCAAGTTAGCAATGAAATCAGCGCTGTGTTGGGGTTTTAACTTCCAGCGCAGCATTATGCTGAGTTGCTGACCTATTTTACCGGTATCTATTACCATCCAATCGATTTTATTACAATCGATTCTTTTATTTAAAACTAGCTGCTGAAGGCATAACATTCAGACAGAAAGACAGATATACGTTAAAATATGTATATAAATTATAGCCTATGTCTTATTCTGATGTATAAGCTATATTATTGTAAAAAAAATCCATTCAGTAGTATTTGCGTGAAAGAGTAACAAACATTAATCCATACATACAAACCTTCACCTTTATAATATTAGTAAGGAAGTAAGGATTTGTAAGGATTTGTTGTTGTTACAGCATCATTTTAAGTTTGAATTATGTATTTCTTTTGTTTTTACTGAATTAGTATATAATAACATCCTTTTTTTGTTCAACTTAGTTTTTCTTGTTGTGTACGTCCTCTCGGTATATTTTCTTTCTCTCTTTCTGCTCCACTCCAGGCCGTCGTACGTGAGCGAAATACCGCATCTACTGTACGGGATGAACTGCGAGCGGTTGACACCGCTCTTCATGGACAGCGGAATGGATTTGAGGACATTCCTTCTGCTGGAGGATAAGGACATGGTGGCTTTGGGCATAGACATGCCTTACGAGCGGCAGAGGCTGTGCCAAGGCCTGAGGAGTTTCCACACGAGAGGTTGGAAACTGAACGCGGTGGCGGGATTGTACGCGAGGAAGAACGAAAACTATAGGTCTGTATGTCTGCAACTAGAGCTATTTTACCACAGAGTACAATTGGTAGCGCTGTTTAGGGTATTGGTAGAGTGTTGTACGACTGTTATACGATTGGTAGAGCTACCTTACCACACAGTAGTAGAACCTCTGTTGTACGATTGGAAGAGCTGTCTTACCCCAGATTAGTAGAACCACTGTTGTACGATTGGAATAGCTGTCTTACCACAGAGTAGTAGAACCACTGTTTTACAATTGGTAGAGCTGTTTTATCACAGTGTAGTAGGACTGTTATACGAATGGTAGAGCTACCTTACCACACAGTAGTAGAACCCCTTTTGTATGATTGGAATAGCTGTCTTACCACAGAGTAGTATGACTGTTGTACAATTGGTAGAGCTATCTTACCACAGAGTAGCAGAACTATTGTACGATTCAAAGCGCTATCTTACCATAGAGTAGTAGAACCACCGTTGTACGATTTGAAGAGTTATCTTACCAAAGAGTAATAGAGCCCCTGTTGTCAGCCCTGTAGTTCCGGGCTCATAGAATAGGACTAAGGTATCTCCTGCCTGTCGTAAAAGGCGACTAAAAGGGGACACGGATTGGCAGCAGCTCGAAGTGGCCTCGAGCTGCTGCAAGATGGCGAGGGAATCGGAAGGTTTACCCTTCCTTCTCCGAGGCGTGCTCACGCCGGTGCGTTCCATAGGAGATCCCGGGGTCCCTCCAAACGTACAGAAGGTGGCCACCGAGGGGGTTTTAGTGGGAACAAACTCCACATGACCCTGTCATATGACAGGGTATCTTTTGAAGATTTCCCCCCCGATACCAAAAAAAAAAGAGCCCCTGTTGTATAATTGGTATAGATGTCTTTCCACAGAGTAGTAGAACCACTGATGTGCGAATGGCAGAGCTTTCTTACCACAGAGTAGGGCCACGCAGCGGCTTCTATAGCACGAATGCGCTGGCCCGTCCAGTAATTAATAAAACTAATACGTGAAATTTATCTCCTTCGTGGTAGCCTGGTTCAATAGTGACATGAAAACATGAAACACCTATAAAATGAGCATAAGAACTCAAATGTAATATTTGCGTACTTTTAATAAATACGTCATTTTCCTCGCTCTTAATTTATTGCTAAGGGTATACATTAAATGACATCTGATTATTGAAAAACTAAGTTGATTGTACTTGTATCATCTTGGAGACGTTTTTCCATGACTATTTACGTGACTTAAACCGAAATCCGAAACCGAGACGAGAAGAGAGGCGGCAAGCGAGCTAGCGGTTCACCTGATGTTAAGTGATTACCGCCGTCCCTAGATATTTGCGACACCCGTAGGGTTGCAGACACGTTGCCACCTTTTAATAAAATGGGCCCCGGTTACCGCACTTACCAGACGAAACGGAGAAGTATAACGCTCCCACTTCACGCCGGTCTTCTGTGAGGTTGTGGTACGTACCCGGACACACCTGCCCATTCGTGCAACTTTGTGTCCGGATACTGGTCATTTTACACCCACTGTTGCGTGCTGGTTTTATATATTTCATCAACTGTTGGACATATCAAAATCAAAAATATATTTATTCACATAGACGCTTGCGCGTTCTTATGAAATTTAAAAAATTTTACATAAAAATTAATACGTTCGTAAGTTACCATATATAGCTGAAATAGAGTTCCAATTTGATGTCACAATAGTTCTTTTTCTATACCTTTTGTTTTAATATGTATTATTTAAGTGATGTCAAATAAAGAGATTTTCTTTCTTTCTTTTCTTTCTATGTACGCATTTGCCTTCTCAGTAACAGACGGTATTGGAGTATAGTCCACAACCAGACCCCACTGCTGTATTAGTGTAATTCACATATCTTCGAAATATTTTTTTTTGTTATTATTTCGAAAATATGTAAGTTTCCTAACGGTGTTTTCCTTCAACGCCGAGCACTTGATAAATTAGCACTTAAAATGATTGTTATTAACAATTTCATTGGTGCCGGCACTGGAAATTGAACTCAGGTTGCTCGAGTATATTGAATTGAAAGCGACGACCGGATACAGCTATTATTACTCAGGGCTCTTTATTGTTTAGTACCAAATTAATATTTTTTTTCTTTATCTGTTGATTAATGACTGTTATGTACCTATGTAAAACGATTCATTACGTTCTCGTAAGCAGTTATTTGTGTCCTATGACGAAATATGAATTCATACTATTTTGAAAGACAAGAATAGTGGATTTATTGATTTCAAAATACTATATACTTTTAGTTATATATTAATGAGTTATCTTATTATTTACGTTATACTCTGTATGATGCTGTATTATTATGAATATAATTCTTTCACTATCTCAATATATTTTCTTGTGATTACAGCGTAATAGACTGTTTAACTACATTGGGCACCCACCTCCAACAGCTGTACATATTAGAAGCCACGCTACAGTACACCTTGCGTGAATACAATAGGATTCAAAATCAAATCAAATACGAACCGCCCGATTCGCCCCTCCTTAACAAATTGAAAGCCGCCAGTAAAAAGTTTCAGATTAACATAAACAGTATTAGAAGGGAAACCAAAATTATGAAAACGTTACTCTCTAAGGCAAGTACTCTGTGTATACTTATATGTATTATATATAGATAGTTATTTTATTCTTTTCTATGCAGTAAATATGTCTCTTCAAATAAATGACAACACGATGTAACAATAATGAGTCAATCATTTCGCTTCAAAATTGAAATAAGTTTTTTTTTATGTGAAAAGTTGCCAAGCGAGCAGACGGTTCACCTGATGTTAAGTGAATACCGCCGCCCTTGTGCTACACCCGAGGGTTCCAGATGCGTTGACAAGCTTTTGAAGATTGGGCTCCGACCACCTCACTCGCCAGACAAAACGCGAAAGTATTTATCATACGTGCACTTTACGCCGGTCTTCTGTGAGGTCGTGGTACTTACCTACCCGGACGAGCCTGCTCATTCGTGCAACAGCCGAGGCTGCCGCGTGGCCCTACCACAATTAAATTGAAATAAGTTTCCTAAATATTTTTGCCCGTTTGCTAAAATTATTTCTTTCTTTTGATTCTGCATCATTCGTTTGATTGATTCGTTGTTAGAAAATGCCTCGGCGATCAAGTCCGTCAAGACAAGATTTGTGTGAAAGTTATTAAGAAAATCAAAATTATTAACGTTATTATCTGATAACAAAGATGTATTACAATTTTTTTATTTAGAAATCTCATTGATATAGAACAATTCGAAGAAACGGAGACACTCATTTAAATTCTGGCTTTTTTCATAGTCTTTGTATTTTTCCATATCATGGCATCGTCTTAACTATCACTGTGATAAAGTATTAAAATTCCTAAGTACGTTGTTTATTTATTTGATAGCGCTAATGGCAAAAAACAATTTTATTTAATTTTTTACAAATGCATGTTTTTTTTTTTTCAGATAAGTAGAACTAACCCGCAACCAGCGGATCTGATTAAAGAAAAGACTGCGCAGGACATAGCAATAGGTTACGCGAAGGAGTTCCTAATCGTATGCTCTCTAGGTTTGTTAATCTATAATGCCAAAACTGTTATCGTTAATTTGTTACGTAAATAAATATTAATTTTTCACTTCGTTTTGTTTTAACATTTTGACATTTACCGTATACATAATTATGTCATGATAGCCGTGATAGCTCAATGTCCGGGCGCTCGCCTTTAATTCAATTTACTCGAGCAACCTAAGTTCGATCGCCGGCCCCGACACCAATTAAATTGTTAATTTTAAGTGCTATTGTACAGTTACACCAATGTTAATGATTTCGATGGTTAGTGAAGTCTGCCAATCCATAGTAGGGCCGCGTGATGGACTATGCCCTGATACTCTCTGTACAGAGGAGGCTTTTGACCAGCAGTGGGACATGAATAGGCTGTTTCTTTACTTTTATTTATAAAGAACTGAACGGAAAAGTGTATCTTAAAAATATCCATACAGCGTCATATTCTTTTTCATGCCCTATTTCCACAATCGGAGGTCGGCACAAGTCCTTTCTTTATTGTTGGAAATCGTCTGTATAAGTTTATACGAAGTTATTGAGTCTAGAAAAATGTGAAACGTCAAAAAATATTTCTTAAATTTGATACAGAGGAGGCCTTTGCTCAGCAGTGGGACATGTATTGACTGTAAGTTAACTTCACTTTTTTTAACACCCGCGACGTATCAGTAGGTCATCCCACAGTCCCGCTCCCTTTAACGGCCAGAATATAGGAAAATCTTTCTACACAGATAGATTCGGTTACTGGAGATAGAATTTTGACATAAGTATTGTGGAGCTAATGTCAAATATCTATAACTAGAAACCAAATCTATCTGTAGAAAAAAATATAGGAACCGGCCGTTAATAATTACGGCTAATATCCGAAAAATCATTAGCTAGTACCGCGCCATTTCACTGGATTTATCGTGACCGGCAACACAGTAACAGCACAGTGCCGATGTAAATATCGACCCACGTGTCAGCACTGTAAATCACGAGCTGCACTCTCGTGTATATAACTCATTTCCGCCGGCCTCGCTGCCTACTCACGTTGGTTCATTTGGCAGTGGGGCGAAATTCGCAAGCGAAAATAATTCGCGTTCAAGATTAATCGCTTTGGCGGAATGAGTTTCGTAGTAATTTGAGATGCGGCGAGATCAGTTTTGTTTTCATATAGTAAACTGGGTAGATTATTATCAGCGCATCAGGTGGTTGATATCAACACGCTTTTATGCCCCCAAGAAGTCGCGTCCACCAGTTTTTATGGTATTGTCACTGGCTTTAAATTTGTTTTTAAACATTAACAGGTTATTATCCTGTTGTGTGGAAGTTAGGCAGTGGATGAGAATTGAATTGGAAGATTCCATGACAGTCAAATAAATGAGTACAAGTTCTATTATTTCGATACGATTCAATATATCAGTATTCTGTTCAATGTCAGAGCGATGGATACATGTTACTTTTAAACGCTAACATTATTTCCGTCTCTGTTCAGTTTCCACACGATTCCTAATTGCGGTGAATAATCTGGTACACTAGATATGGTTCCAAGTATTGAGTAAGAAACGACCATGAGAGAAGTGTTCGATGCATCGAATTATATTGTAAACTTTTTATTGACAGACTTCGTTACAACCACAATTTGTTCTAATACTCGCAATATCACTGATTTATTTGACCTTATTCTTTAAGTATTTGAAGTAATACGATACAATGTGTTAAATTTTTGTATGAGAATGGATAACAGACATACGTTAGTGTATCGAGAATTATGCAATCACACATAACATACTATAGGCGTAATGGAACGTGTTTTATTAATCGTAAATAATATGTTTAGCTAGTCATCAAAACATTGATCCTTTCCATCGACATGCCACACCGACAAAATTCTCAACATCCTCTATCTACATTGTTATTTAGCATTTGAAGCAATGCTTAGCGCATCCATTGCTTATATCCTTTCCAGCATACAAACTATTTCGAATATCGTTTGACAATGATAATTCGAACGAGATATGTCGCCATTGCTTTTTTAGAAAATTAAATTTTGATAGTGCTAATCTCTGTCCTCTCTGTATAGTCCTAGACGTTAAGATGTTCGCCGATGTGGCAATCAGCCGTTTAGCTTAGTGGCTAGAGCGTCGGGGCGCGAATCCCATAGACGTGGGTTCGATTACGGCAGCGGCGAAAAACTTTTCGTTCCTTTTTCTACAAATTGTTAATATTTAGTAATGTTTAATGTTTAGTGCAGAAATGAGCACTATTAAATTAAATTTGTAAGAAATGTTGTCAACATTTACAAAACTCATTCATGCTCTTCACTAGAACTTCTAAACCCGCAACAGAACAGACGTCTCTATGTGGATTATATAACTATTGTTTATTTATCATATCTCGCACCTAATTACCTTATGTATTCGCAAAAACTGTTTATCAACCTAAAGGCAGCCCTCGCTGCATTCTAAGAATACGTTAGGTACTTTAATAAATATACGGAATTCATAATAAAACAAAGGTCTTGAATTAAAACAACTTTTTATATACTTTTATTTTATTGACATCTAAACTTTCATAACAACTGTTTGTACTAAAATATAAATGTGTGCAAGTTAAAAGCTGTTAACATTGTATATTGAAGTAACATGCTGTTATTTTGCTGCCTATGTTAAAGTGAACGGGCTCTTGAAAGTTGGTATTAAAAACGTGAAATTGTCGTTGTATTAGCAAAATTCTTAATATAACTTCATGGCGTGTCGTAATAATTGCACTGACATATTGAACACGAATTCATAAGCTCCATTTTAGTAGGACTCAAGCCGTATCTACAACTATTACATCGCAGACTTTGTGGGTTTTAGTTAACATAATAATATCATATAACGCGAAATTTAACATTGCGTGCTCGAGCCATTCTCAATATCATACCACTGGAATATCCAAAAAAAAATTACGTAAATGCATGAACCATGCATGAAACCACTCAATCACAGTGAAAGCATATACATATAACTAAAGCGGCGGCGTGTTCCACAACTTCGATCCGCATAAAAATACGTGAACGATCCAAAACCAATACGTGTTAAAACGTTGAGATTCTTTAAAACTATATCGAAATAAATATCGGACGATATCCAAATATCCCCTATAGTAATTTATAAAACGTAAATTACAATAAATTAATAACAGTAGTATGGAATAGCTGGTGTCGAAGTGGACCGCTAGGGTGACAGAATCACTCAGTGCTTTTGGATGGGGATGTTCCTGTCGGTGATGGCGAGCTGAGGCAGTGGTGCCTCCACGGTAAGTACACCGTCCCGGGACAAGGACGATTTAATAGCCTCGGGATTGGTGCCCTTTGGGAGCAGGAACTCTCTGTTATATTCTCTGTACACAGACTTTGTGTCGGATTTCTCTTCGTGCTTCGCGTGCACCTGAAAGCATATGCACGTTCAGTTAGATCAGCGGTTCTCAATGTGGGCGGTACCGCCCCCCAGTGGGCGCTGAGTCTTTCTGAGGGGGCGATTGAAACTTAAAATATATAAAAATCAGTTAGCCGTGGAAAGTAGGTATAATGGTATGTTGAAAATCTTCAATGTACCGTACCTACTTCTGTAAAAAAAATTGTATGAAAAATTTCTGGGAGGCGTTGAGTATTCCAATTTTTCCTAAAGCGGGCGAGACATCAAAACAGTTTGAGAGACACTGAGCTAGATTGTATCGTAAATGTTCGAGTTGCGCCGGCCGTTCATCAACCCTTAAAACGCGCGCACGACTATTGGCATGTTGCCTGCATGGAACGCCCCGATGTGACCTCCGATGAGCATTCAGTAACGCGACCTACATTACATCGTTGCAAACGGAATGGTAACAGCGAATATATACAGATGCAATTACAGTGTCTCAATAATGCACTGAGGACGGTCCGACCTCGGCGACCTATCTTTTTATGCGTGCGCACTCGATTTGTTTTTACTCGTAATATGTAAACAATTTGGCCGTTTACGTCTGGTCGTCTTCAATGTATGGAATACTTAATAGCACTTGTTCAGACGGGGATAAATAATTTTAAAGGATTATAATAAACTTCGTTGCTTTATTGTTAAATAATCAGAAATCAGATTTAAATGAAATCGAAGTAAATGCCAACTAAATAAAATAATACGAGATCTGCTGCTGTGCGCTTATCACGGAAAAACTACTGGTATATTTTAGTTAATAAGTTTTATTTCTTAGACACTGGGCCCTTATCTGAAAAAAGTTATTGTGATAGCTTCATTTAGTGTAAAGTTTTAAGAAAGTTTTTTTTATAGGCACGTGTCCAGTGATGTGTGCTCTCTGTGGGGAAGTGGGGCAAGCGGTGTAGTTGTTAATGTAATAAGCAACGCAGACGAGGTCGCGGGTATCAGTTAGTGCTAAATAAATTCTTTCGTATACTTACTAGCAACTTGTTATCGACTGTCTTAACGACGATCTCTTCTGGAGTGTACTGGCTGACATCGAATCGTAACTTCAGGGATTTGCCATCACCCTCATCCTGGATCAGAGGAGAGTTCAGACTGTCCCAGTGGCTAGGTTCAGCCAGCTGTCGGCTGTCGCTGTGTTGTGTTGTTGTTGAGGAGCTGTAGACGACATAACATATAGATTAGTTTTCAAAGGCTTCTTTCAAATTACCACATATCAACCAATTTTTTGCACGACATGATATTTTATCAAGATGCCGTGCATCGTTACAAACAATTACTGAAATACACTTAACGCGAAACAGACACGCAAGAATTTCATATTCCATACCATCAGTTTCGAGGGAAATAATGATTCATTCGTATTCGATACGAAGAAACGGCATGAGAACCTTTATGGAGTTTTAATTTTAGAATGCAACGAAAAAAGAAAGTTATTTTAGTTCATTCATATTATTTCTGTAAAAGGAGGCCCGTGACATTAATCCAAATATTACTAAAAACAAATAATTAGAGTTTGAATTTATTACCAATTTATATAAATGAAACCAGGTGCAAAATTAACTTGAACGTTCGCCCAGTTTCTTCGAATTACATAATGAATAGTATGGTTATCTTATATTCTTAAAATGTCTACAATATGTTGAGATTTGTGCAAATGTTTCACCGAACGACCGTTTGCGAAATTTCTATTAGGATGGTAGGATGAATCCTAAAAATTATTCACGCTGATGTAGAACGATTAACCGAGCACAAGGTGATTAGTATACCAATACCAATTTTGCATTTTTAATTATGAACCATTTGCAGATGATTATCACTGGTCATCGGTACGAATGGATGCTGATGTCATTCTCGTGAATGCACACAAGGTTATTGTCAACACATGAGCTCATCACTGTAATCCCGATATACTATATAAATTCGAGTAATTTATGACGATGGTCCGCAATTCGTTTATACACATGGCAACACTATTATGTACGTGTAAAACTTACATTTTACTTCGTACAATTCTACGTAGGTATAATTTATGGTTTGTTAGATGTCACGCGAATTGATAATGCCTTGTTATAACCGTAACCTTAATCCGATCCAATTTATAAGCCTACGTGAGTTTATATCGTTCACGCTAATGATAAAATCGACTTCGTTAGTTATTTTAATTGCTTTTGTGAAATTTAAGTTATATTAAGCGGCTGTGAACCTCTATATGATCGTGATACATATATAATTTAATAATAAGTGTGTAAAATGTGCAGCAATGTGATTTGTGCAGTTTTGCATATTATACTCTATAATATATATTCATACTACATTTTACCTCTCTGACGACTTGGTCACTCCTCCAGTAGAAACAGATTCGAAATTGTAAGACATGCAAAAGGCAATATTGGCTATTAGTTTTATTATTTATTAAAAATTCATAGTTATTATATTATGTTCTAAGAGTTTTATAAGCCTTATGTCTGAATAAAAATTTAGAGGTATTCAGAAAAAATACAGATTTAGTTCGCTCAATAGTTTTTACAAATTATCTCAATAAACGCTATCTATAAAGCCTATGTAATAAAAAGCTGTCGTGTAAAATAGTGCTAAGCAATACAATATTTGGCTTCCGCAAATGTTAATAATTGTACATATATTAATATAAATAGAAACAAGCATAGTTTTATATCTAGTACGTTACAGGTGATACACCTTACATAATGCCACTATAGCGTCAGTTGTTTACGTGACGCAATCAAAATAAAGCTGAATTTTGAATACATCAATGACGAAAGCATTATTTATTTTTCCATTAACTTTCAAGGCTTTTTTTTATCCATACTCCGAGACTGCCCACTTGTGTCGCGTTCGCTCACTCCTTCTTGATTGAAAAACATGATCAACCCACATAGTTTTAAAAACATGGGCGGGCGAGTTTGTTCAACAAAACCATGTTTGAAAAGCCATTGCGATGTCATAATCGAGAAGTGATATAAGAATGTTAAAAAAATATTATCAGCTCTGTTCTGTTTCGATGTTTTGAATAGTAAAACGCGTATATTATCGATATCCAAGTAAAACATTTGAGAATGACATCACTTGCTGACATATATAAAATAGAATCATTATTTCTGAGTGACAATGGTGACAAACGTCGCAATCCTACTTAGAGTTTCTGATGCCCATTCGACATGCCAAGTCCCTACATTACGAGTGACGATTGGCGGCATTGCGTCACCGAGTGCTTGCGGCTGAAAGAACGCTGCTCCATCTGGGTCGTGTACGCGGCCCGTGCCATAAACACCGCTTCAGACTGCAAACTGCACGCCCAGTTATACCTACCTACACGCTATGTTGATAAAATAATCGTAAACCGGTTTTCGCCAAGGATATCGTTCACGTAGCTCGAACTCCCGTTATATTGTTATTAAGTCGAGTCGTCGAGACATATGTCGGGATATACATGCAAGATTTGATCAAATGACATTCTGTTTTCGTGTCGTTGGTCATGGCGCTTTCCCGTTCATAAATTGAACATTTTACACGTGGCGTTGCTTGTAAAAAATCTGTAACATTTCGCCGAAATGGTCCACAAGTCGTGGTTTTTTCGAAGCAATTGTTCTCACGCCGCGCCGCCGGCCGGCGCTATTTCTATTTATGACATCACCCGCGTCGGGCTTACGTATCGTTGCCCTCTTTAAATGGAGCCGAGTGAGATGTCTGCAGCTGATGCCGTTCCGCGGAATGATCCCGAATAATGAATGCCCCTTAAATAAGCCACTTTCGTGGAGTCGCCGGGGCCCCTCAAGGTGGGACACTTGCGAAACTCACAATTCATTCAAGATTCCCTTTTTGGCAAACAGGCCCGGCGATCGTTGCGTATCAGTTTCGATCGGAATAATAATGCGCGTTGCGGCAGTATTTCGACCTCAGATAAGAGATTAATGCCCAAGAAATGGATAATGCGTGGCACATACCCACACAGTAACTACCTTCGCATTTGGCAATTTGTATTATATTTTTCAATACAAAATTAACATAAACCGACGTTATTTTTGTATTAAACATTCAATAAATACCTCGTCGTGCTCTTGAAGAAGTTGTTGCTCTCCCTGTTCATCAGCTCCGAGCGGAACTTGCTCATTTCTTCCTCCATTTTTCTCATTTCGGCGTCGAACCTCTCCCTGATGCTCGAGAACTCCGTGTCGATGACCGAGAAGTCGCCGAGCTTGATGGGGATGTTTCTCTTGAGACCGCCGTCAGCCATTTTCACGTGTTACAGCGGCTAGGTGCGTTCGAACTAAACAAACACTGATCGTGCTATGTCGTAAACACAGTTCGCGGCGTGGACGCGCACTCTTTGGCGGACAGGACAGGACTGATCATTAGTCGCAACTCTGCGCCAGGGGGCTTGCGCAGTGTTTTAAATAGCCTAGCTTTCGAACGCCGCAACAGCACCGCTCGGCGTCACTCGGCCCACACCGTCCGTGCTTCTCGCTCATTCCACGTCCACGACGCTGACAGCCCCGACGCCAACGTGAACCGCGTCACTCCGCCACCCAAACGTAATTTAATTGATGAATCATTACATCTCGGTCTGTCTTTACTGTTTAAGGCAATCGCCATACACATGTCGGACGTGTTAATCATTCGGATATTTTTGCCGACCGCAGTATATTCCACAATACGAGCACATGAACGGATATGCAAATATTTTTTTGCAACACCGCCAGATTTTTTTGGAAGAATTCTGATCCACGGAGTTGGTTCATTTTATGTGCGAGTTCGTATCAGCATTCCCAACACAATAATTGTATCAGCATCAAAATAAAATACTGTTGGTATATAGATATTATTTTATGCATAAAGCAATGTCTTCAGAAATTTTTGTGATAAGTAGTGTCGTCAAGGTCAAGATAAAAAATATCACTGATAGTTATTTTGGAGACAGCAACATATTATATTATATTAATAAATTATTTAATAAATATTTAAAATTCGAAAAATACTACTAGAATGTTAGTGTAAAATGTCGGTAATCTATACAATTACTGACACGTTATTATATATGTTATTATATACGATATTATATACGTTATAGTATATGTGCGTGTTAGCTTCTTGTCTGGGCGCTCGCTTTTAATTCAATGTACTCGAGAATATACTTTACGGTGGTAGGGCCACACAGCAGCCTCGGCTGTTGCACTAATGGGCAGGCTCGTCCGGATAAGTACCACAACCTCACAGAAGACCAGCGTAAAGTGGAGTATGACAAATACTTTCGCGTTTCGTCTGGTGAGTGAGGTAGCCGGAGCCCAATTTTCAAAAGGTTGTCAACACATCTGTAACCCTCGGGTGTAACAGATGTCCATGGGCGGCGGTATTCACTTACCATCAGGTGCACCGTCAGCTCGTTTGGCAACTTTTCACATAAAAAAAAAAGAAACCCGAGTTCGGTTCCGGTGCCGGTACCAATGAAATTGGTAATTTTAAGTTCTGTCTTATCTCGTACTCAGGGGTGAAGGAAAATATCATGAGGAATATATCCTGCATATTTTCGAAATAATAACAAGAAGAAATATACCGAAGATATGTGAAGTCCGCCAATCCGCACGCAGTACAGAGAAGGGCTTTGCCCAGCTGTGAGACAGGTATAGGCTGTTACTTTACTCTTACTTACTTTACATTACTATCATTTGTTTACCGATGATTATACACAGACAGCGAAATCCGTGTCAAATATTTTTTCTTATTAGAACTTGTCTCTTGCATTAAATTCAACATCAGTGTAGCGATGCCAGCAGTGCTTTTTTCCTCGTACTACATTAGTTTAAAAAGTCTTTTTAACTCATTCTGTTGTTTATTAAACAACAATTTGACTTATAATATTAAATCCGTCCGAAAATTCCGACAGACAGAACTACGCATCAACATTGACATCGAAATGAACATGAAGTTTTGTTTGTATAATCAATAAAACAACCTCGACAGGGACACGCACATTTGACGTTCGTGTGGTCGTAAAATTTATTATTCTTTCTTTATTTATTTCACTTTTTAAACACATTTTTGATAACTTATATATGATATATATCACGTTTTTATATCATATTGTTTAAGAACATTATAGTCAACGATTGCTTTAGTTTTATAATTAAATATTTTTATCTTTTTAGAAAAAAAAATCAAAAAATGTTCATTAAAATTCAGTTCAAGCAACTGTAATAAAATATCTTTGTAAAATGCAAAATTTCAAAGAAAGCAATATATTTGTTCAATCTGCTGACAATTAGATGTTTTTATTCTGAGAGTCTGATGAGTATTTTATTATACTCGTACATATGTACCTAATTTTCATAAAGCAGGGGTAGTCAACAATTGGATCGGTATCAAATCAAATCAAAAATATATTTATTCAAATAGACGCTTACGCATTCTTATGAATCGTTAAATTTTACATAATAAATTATATATATAGGTGCATAAGGTACCACCGGTTCGGAAAGCAGTTTCTGTTGAGAAGAGACCGGCGAGAAACTCAACAGTTGCTCTTTTTCAAAAGCATCAGTTTAATGTCAATGCTATGAACTAGTCAATTATGAATTAATTTTTGTTGGTCACTCAAAATGATTTAACCGATAAGAGAACATGGAAAAAGCGCATTTGACCTAGTAGTTTGGGTCATTATGAAATCTCCGTGACAATAAATCAAACGCAACACATTTTTAATATAAAAAGTATGTGCTGTGCAGAAAAGTTTGCCACAGAGCAAATTAATTCCATAAACGAGCGAGGCAAATTTCACAATGGCCATCCGGTTATAAACAATTGAGTTGAAAGCAAGTGGATACTAGATACCGTGTCACCTTGTCTACGTATGACGTATGTTACGTAGAGTACATAGCGCTATGAGACAGATGTTTGTTACCTAATCGCTAAACAATGCGGCGTGGCCTTCCCCTGCCTACGCGTAACTTCTGTAGCTTTGTTTGGTGTTAAGTATAACGTTTTTAAAACAGTGGTTAACTTGACCGCTGGATTTGAATAGTTGTGAGGAATATAGACGGCTGCAATAGTTGTGAGCAAGATATGCAAACGGTACAATCGGCCTTCGTTTTTAAATTCGCGGTCTTGTCCTGCGCCACTGATAAGTGATAACACATACTTGGCCTTTCTCCCGTTTTATCGTATCTTATCGCTGTCGGTTTATAAACGAAGCGAATATTACTTTCAGGTAACAACCTATTGTATATAATTGCATTTTTATACGAGAACGGAACAGAGAGAGAGTTTCCTTGAAATTACTGCACCAAACGAAACGTAACACAACAAATCCTTCCACTTCGCATCCGTCTCCGATGAGACCGGGGTACTTCCCGGTAGGGACTTGGGTAGTCTCAACAATGCAACAGCAGAAGCTGCTACCACGGTAGAAAACGGAAATCAGAAAGGGCTCGCAATAGTCAAATTTACAAAAACAACTAATAATTAAGAATGTATTTTAAAATATAATCTATCATGAAATCGCCATGTGGCGCCACATACGTGGCGATTTAGTGGCAGATATGTTTTAAGCGTAGCCCTACATGTACATCTGTACATGAACGGCCACGCAGAGTAGTCTTCGCTGTTGCACGAATGGGCAGATCCGTCCGGGGAAGTACCAAGACCTAAGCGAAGGCCGACGTGAAGTAGCAGTGTTATACTTCTGCGTTTCGTCTGGTGAGTGAGGTGGCCGGGGCCACTTTATTAAAAGGTGTCAACGCATCTGCAACCCTACGGGTGTTTCAAATATCAATGGGAGAATTTATTATTTAACATCAGGTGAAACGCCAGCCCGCTCGCCACCTTCTCACGTATAAAAAAAAGATATTAGCTCATGTCGCTATGTCAAATGCCAAATTAATAACCTAATTATCTCGAGGAAAAGCTTTATGCGTCCTATCCGGAGATTGTCCTGATTTTTTTTTTAATTATAATGAACAAAAACTACAAAGGTGTTACTCGACACACTTAGTTCAAACACTGGATCTACTTATGTAGGCCAGTACTGGTTTTATCGATTATTCATTAATTCCAATCGCATTAAGATTGCGTCAAGTTCTCATTGTAGAGCCACGTATCGTTATCATAGACTTAATATAAGGATAAATTGTTTATTGTGGAATAAATCATTGACTTTTTGTAGTAACAAGTGCGTGAAAATCCGTCGATTAAATCGATATGCTATCACGTTCACCTTGATCAGGTTATTTTCAAAAGCTGACCGTTCTTCATGAATTCGGCTAGAAATTAATACTTACAGAATAAAAAAGATGTTGAAAGTAGTAACAAGAAACGATCTGGAACTCTTTCTGAGCGCTTTGCCAATAAAACTGTAGACATTTATCATCTACGAATCTTTAAAACATTGCTTTGAAACAGAAACGCATTTAATAAGAAATCGTCAAGCGTGATAAATTGTATCAACACTTGTTCCCCGTACACTGTACTCAATATTATAAGGAACTCAAATTAAATTTGAATTCAAAATTTCTTTATACAAATAAATCTTGTTGCGTGGTTGTATGGCCGTCGTTTCACAATATTAGATGTATCAAAAGAACAATCGGCAGGTGACGCGGCCGTATTTATATTATCCATTTTTTTTATTTAAATCGTTCATTTGTTTCTTTGCATGATTAATCCCTAAAAATATTTAGTTCAATTTGCAATTCTTTTACTTATGCTAATCTACCATAACACTGAATAACACACAAAATTACTGTATCTACAAATGAAATTATTTTTTTTTAATTTGAAGTCTTATTAACTGCTAAGAAAATTAGCTTTAAGTACTTGTATTTAGAATCAATAGTGCCCTTATAGTATTATAGAAAACTTACCGTAACCAAAGTATTAAATCTGTGGAGACCTATATTCAACAGTGGACTCAAACAGGCTGAAATGATGATGATGATGAAAGTCTTACGTGCCCGTGCCGGAATTTGATCCATAATGGATTTTCCAAATCCGTTTTTCTACGTCCAATATACGCATCAGTGTGTAATGCGCAAGTTACTAGTTGGTAATCCAGTGCTAAAATAATGATAATGTTTCTAAAAATCCAATGATAGTTATCGAACGTTCTATATATTTTTATTTCTAATGGCCATTAGGACTCATAACATTTGAGAACTTCGTCGCAACTGGTAATTTTAATTTAAATCTTCATTTACTACTTTTTGGTGATAAAACAAAACATTGACAGCAAACTTTGACTTTAAC